TATTAGTAATATAAATTATTAATTCATATTGTATTATTAATATAAATTATTATTTTTTAATGGTTACTTATAATTGATTATGTTTTAAAATTGGTTACATTGTACTACATTGCAAGCACCAGTTGAGGATTTTGGATGAGATAATATTGATTATTGGTCTTATTTCAGAACAGATGAGATATTTGATAGTCTTAAAGAAGCTTTTAAGTATGCAGTAGATATGGCAACTATCTGTGTTTTTGAACTAATTAATTCAAAGCACACAAAGGGAGGAACATTGAGGATTCTGAGGTGTAACTGAGCGGAACCTTATCGAGGTAAAATATCCAATCTTGTTAATGTTGTCCTGAGAGGTTCGAAAACAAAATATATCGGATGCATGTTTGAGATGAGATTGAAAAAAGTGGCTGGTACGAAAGATTCTTGGAGTGTATGTTTTCCTCGGGATGATAAAAAAGGATATCATAATCATCCGATGACTTTGTATCTCGAGGGTCATCGACAGTTCAGCGGACTGAGTGAAAAGTCGAGGCAGATCGTCCATGACATGACAGTTGCCCAGGCAAGACCGGCGGTAATATTGGCAGCGATACAGGATAAAAACCCGTCTGACAACGCAACTCGTCAACAGGTTTACAACTATAGGGCTCAACTCCGATCAGAGAGTTTCGAGGGCAGAGATTTGACTTCCCAACTTATGCATATGGCTAGCCGGACTAATTAAATAGTTTTCACATATTCTGATAAGGACACACACACCTTGACACGTGTGTTCATGTCGCATCCCCAGGCATCCCTTCTCTTTCAGACCTATTATTGGTACGTCGATATAGATTCGACGTACAAAATCAACAGGTATGTTACTTTATAAATAACAATTTAGTACGAATCTTAATTATTATGTCTGAGTAGGTACTTTTTTTATTCTTTATTTGTTTTTGTTGCCCTCATTTGCACAGGTACAAGATGTCGTTGGTGGAAATAATAGGGATGACGCCGTGCAACAAGAACTTCTTGATTGCATATGCAATTCTGAAGGACGAGAGCTAGAACAACTATGACTGGGTTCTGAAGCGGTTGAGAGATTTGATTGGGCCTGATGATAATCCTTCAGTCATTGTCACTGACATAGAGTTGAGGTTGATTAATGCTATTATGATTAATTCTCCAACGTCTGCCTTTGCACGTGGCACATCAACAAGGATGTGGAACACAAGGTCTCTATACTCACGCAGAATAATAAAGAATTCGATGAGAAGTTCACACGCGGCAGGTGGAAGAAGATCATGGAAGCGAGCACGGTGGTCGAGTACAACTCTACCGTGAAGGACATGCAGCATTGGTACAAGGCGTTTCCTCTTGTTACACAGTATATAGAGCAGACGTGGTTAGTCCACAAGGAAAATTTTGTCAAAGGGTGGACGAACCACTTCCTGCATTTGGGTAACACCACGTCGTGTAGGGAGGAGAGTTCCCACAATGTGTTGAAGCAGTGGACACGTCGACCGGTTCGCTCGACACAGTATGGGAGTGTTAGAAGTTAATGAAACTTGTTATCGACGTCAGCATGATGTGACCATGACGTCACCCTCTGTCTTCATGCATGAGGATAAGAAATAAACGGGCACCTGCTCTTCCTTTGATGTAGCAACCAATGGGAGCTCAAGTTGAGCATCTTCACAACATATTCCATCTTGATGATTAGATAATGATAGATGGAAATGTGTCCATATTCTAGTGAATTCCTTTTCATCGCTATAAATATTCTAGCTTAGGGTTTTAGAGACATTTTCTTCTTTCCAAAAAAATGTTAGCCGCCATGGCTTCTTCTGCTCTCTTGTTCAAGAAATGTTGCTTTGATTTATTTCTTTTTTCTATCATGGTATCAGAGCTGGTGTAAGATCCAGTCTCTGTTTACCCTCGTCTCTAAAAACAAAAAAAAAAATTAAAAAAAAAAATGTTAGAAAT